TAATAAACTAAACTAAAAAAAAAAAAAAAAAAAAAAAAAAGGTAGAAATCATGTTACGATAATTATCAAATTGCTATTAAAAGTTAAATTGTTATTCTTGTGGTGGAAATAAGTTAAAATGAATTCCATTACGTTTCAAAAATAAAACCTTATTTACTAAATCTGGTGATAAACGGGTTCGTTTTGCCGAAATGAGATTTCTGGCATCAGAAAATAATCTTTCACTTGACACAGAGGTCGCCGGAATAGAGAGATATTTGCGTGCTAGTTGAGCCAAAACAGGTAAACTGCTGCTATTTTTTGACCACCATTCTAAAGAATCTTCATTAAGCTTAATTTCTTTTAGTTTTATATAGTATGTCACTTCACTTTCCTCTCTTACATCATTTTGTGTAAAATCTGCTTCTAGTCAACAAAAAAAGTTACCATCATCATCCTTATAACTTTTATCTACCAAACCTTCTTCAATATCATCAGGAATAGAAAGATTTACCCTTAACTCATCATAAAGATCCTCCACCAACTTTTGTGCTTTGTTTCGTTCAACAGTTGTTGCCCAATTGAAATGCTTAAATCTTGGATCAAGAAATGTAGCAACTAAGGCGATGTCTGTTAGAGCTATCCATAACTCATCCATTGACAAATAAATAGCAGCTCAAACTTTACGTAATAAACCAGTAGTAGAAACTGGTGGTAAATATTCTACTTTGTATATATCTTCTAATTCATCATTCTTGGATCATACATGTTTTTTCCTATTTAGTTTCTGACCTTGACCACAAGCAGCCATTTTTTGACGAAATTGCCGGTGTGCATATTGCCATTGTCGACAAGCACCAGCAGTGGGAATATCATCATCATCAGTTATTTCATCACTTTCATCATCATTTTCATCTTCCTCGCCATAAATAAGATCTAAATATGTGTCAATTGTCTCATCTGTCTTTGGTGCAAATCCTTTCTTAAGCAATTCCATATATGGATAAGCAAGATTAAGCGTTAGATATTTAGCTCCACATAAACATCGAGTTATTCTTTCAATTGGTTCTAACATGCTTAACATTTCTTGCAAAAATCTATATAATAAGAAAAAAAAGATTAAAATATTACTAAAAAATATATATATAAAACCTCAAACAAAACAGAAATTTCAATTTCAAATGTTTTATGATCATAGGATCAAATTTTTAAAGAATGCTCTGTGAAAATTCAAAATAAAATGTTTATCGCATAGGGCTGCACAAAGTTAACTTTATTTTGCATTGTATGGAATCTAAAAATTGGGATAGCTGTTCAGATTTTTTTTTAATTACTGGAATTAATAAAAATAGAATAATGTTTACATCTAATGTACTCAAAGTTAATTTTTTTATTTCACGTAACAAGGAAACAGAAAATTGGGTTCAATCGTGTTTTTTTTCTGTTAATCCTGTCGAATAATTAATTACTAGAAGATTTCAAATATGAAAAAAATAAATACACGTTACTC